ATAATACTCAATTAATATACCATTTATAAAATATAGAACTTTTTACACTGATCGTAAGGTAGTTAAATCTAGGAACTATCCAGAATTTAGTTTCTTTATTGATATTGATAATTCCTCTTTTACTGTATGTATTATTAAAGGATGCATTCTTTAAAATTATAAACTTTCTAGGAAATTCTCATTATAATTTTGTGTATAAAGGAGTGTTTTAAATTATTCTCATAGCTTCTAATTATCTTTATTGTCATAATGCGACTACGGAGAATAATTATGATATTTCGTAATTTTAAGGATTATTATTATATCAGAAATTGAACTGAATATTTTAAAGTAAATATTTGCGTTGTATGCTAATAAATCTGGCTTCTTTCTTGTATAAAAGACTCGAATATCCGCTTTAACGTGTAGGGTATAGGAGGCTTTATCGTACTATTGACAAATACAAATGACTTATTTTTTTTTTTTATAGATTCTTTTTTAAATAATCAGATTCAAATTTTGGCTCTAAGCGATTATTTTATGATCGAAGAAAAAGTGAATAAAAAAAAAACACACAACAAGGACATCAATATCGCTAAAAATAAAAATACGATAGGATATTTGACGTGTGTGATCATTATAAATTTGGCTTGTTTGTCTCATAAAGTAACTTTTTTCGAGTGATATCGATATCCCAAATGTAGACATCCCTATCTTATTCACAGACGAATTACATTAAGATGTGTAATAAATCGTAATAAGAATTCCTTACTACTTAACTATCACTTTTAAAGGATTTTTTTTTCTTTCTTTCGATAGCTTTATACGCTTTATATGTATACACTCATTAAATATAATCCATTTAATGAGTATTTTCTAATATATTCACGACTTAATGATTTTTCAATAAATCTTCTTGAGGCAGTTTTATTTTCTTTTAAAGGTTATCGACTTTTAGACATTAAATATTCAGTTTTAAGTGTTGCGAACTTCTTATAAATGAACAAACATGCCACTTAAAGCTGCTTTGTGTAAAATGTAACTATAGCATTGTTAGCATTCTATTTATTTCTAATTCTTTGCAGATGCAAATTAACTACAAGCTTTAAACAGGAAACGAATTTCTTGCTTTACCGTGTTTTTACTTAACTAGAAGTAAGGAATAAGTGGAGAACTTTGGTACCACTCTTCATTATTAATTCACAGAATACTTGATTGGAGGTTTTTTAAATTTTACACCAGGAAAGGCAAACAATGATTTTTAAATCTCACAGGGGGTTCTATTTCTTCTACGATATGTTTTACGCATAATTTAGTTTTTTACTATATATATTCTTTATTTTTATAATGAATTAACGTCTTTAAAATTTTATTTATATAAACTATTAACCTCCCCCCTTTTTTAATTTTCAATTTTTTAAAAAAAAGGTTTTTACACTCAAATTTTTTTCTGTTAAAATACATTATTCATTGGAAACTTTTGTACTGTAGCTTNGAGTTAAAACTAGTTTTAACTAGACAAAACGGGTTTTAACAAAGACATTTAGCATAAACTAGTTTCAACTAGTTAAAACGCGTTCTAACTAAAAACGGGTTTTGACTGTAACATATATATTTATAATTTGTTTCGTTTTCTATATTCTAGACAGTTACTTCATAGATGAATATACTAATTAAAATTTACAGTTTAAAATATAAAATTATAATTAACAAATCAGATAGTAAACATTTCTCTAAATTACTATCAATGTATTTTTAATAACCAAAGTATAATCAGTTTAAACCAGAGAGAGTACTGTACATAAATAGTTTGATGATAAGCAGTAGAATTTATTAATATTCTAGTAATAGGATCTATATGAAATAAAAATAAAAATTAATAAAATAGATATAAAATAATATCCCATTTTAAGTTTTTGGTGAAAATTATAGAAAACTTACGCATTTACACGTAAAAAGTAATTACTAGTTAAAGTGTCAAGAGGTGAGTGAATGCCATTTCACATAATTTTTTGACTCATATAATTAAATATGTTTATATATTATAAGCTCTATTGTGTTTTATATACTCACAGAATATAGAGATATTGCATGACGTTTGCTGATGCATATGTGATACAATGTGTGGTGTTCCATAACCCCACTTTGAGCTTCTTTCAATAAGAGTTTCTAGAAGATAAGATTCTTCACCACTAGGAATTTCGAAAGAATCTTATTTATAGCGTTGGAATTCAAACAGTTTTTTTTTTTTTTGGTTTTTAGCTAAAAGATGAAGAATTCGAAACTAACAGTAGCGATTTACAGATTAAATTCGTACTTTATGTATATTAAAAACACGTACTGTACGTATACGTAGATATTTTTAAAATGGTTTCACACTTTAAATGAGGAGAGGAAACATAAACTTTTCTTCTGTTTAGCATCTTAGCTTTGGGAGACATCAGTGACGGAATATAAAAATGCTTAGGAAAGTTTTTCCTTTAACAAGGGTCTTGCAGCGTTTGGTGCAGTGACGTGAACCGCATTCCTTTAGATTTTGGACGTCGGTGTTAGAGTTAACGTGGCGTAAACTTTCCACTCGTCAGAAGACACTTGTTCACGGTAGGGAATCTTTGGAAATGCGAGCCAAAAACTATTTTTTTTCCTACTGTATTGTCTGCCGTCTCGTCTGCAGAATCTGATCTTATTCAATGTCATTTTGGGAAGCTCCCATGATAGATGAAATTCGAAATTTAATATATATAACGCTTTATCATATATCAAAATCAATAATCATTAAATTAACAAGGTAATTTACTTTGGGCTATTTTTTTCCTCTCTGTAAAAAAGGAAAAATCGAAATATCACCCGCTACATTCATTGATACTTATGTGATTTATTAGTTCCTTGCAATACTTCAGTCAAACTATTAAGTTCCTGTCAAAATGATTAATTCCGATTTTATGTAATAAGAATCTGAAATAAGAATATCGAATTTTATTATATTTAAGGAAGATTTATCATAGTCACTATTGATTTCTTTATTAGAACTATTAAAAATTTATAATATAATTTATTTACATTTGTGCCTTTCGAAACTGTAAGATTAAACATTTTTTTCAGTCAAATTATATAATATATTCGAAATGTTGTTATATTGTAAATATAATATTGATAATTACAATGTTAAAAAATAAATATTTAAAATATTTATCCATTGAAGTAAATAAATATAAATATATTCATCAAGTAACCCATTAAAAAAAGTACATTATATTGCGGTTTAATTCTTAAAAAGTAGGAGGAAGAACGTAGTCGGAAATATACTTTGTTTATCTTTGTATGTGTTTGAGGAAAAACATTGAGTTCCGACAGGCAAAACAGATGTTACCAGGCACGTGCCATTCGATCTGCCTTTAGATAAGCCTATTACAACATAAGATTTGGTCTTGTTGGCTCCTCTTTTATATTCTTAATATCCTCATGTGGAACCGTGCATGTTCGGGATATCTACTTGTAATCTCGTCCTGGGTGGTCCACTAAAGCCAGGAACGAAATTTTTCTTATCGATTTTATATCAATAATATATCGATAGATGTAAAATTATTAATTGTAGTTATTGAGTGACGTTTTTAAAGTCATATTGAACACTTATTAGCATTGATTTAGATACTTATTTTGCAATAATTTTATAATAATAATAACTATTAAACGTTTAAAAACTAGAACGAACTTTTCTATACTTTTACGTCTAAAAACAAATCTAGAATGTAACTGACGACATACGAGCTCGTCTATCGACGTCTAATCACGAAAGTTGACTTTATTCGACGTGTTCGGAATATATCGATTAGGTAGCCATTACGACGAGAACGGTAAACTTTTTGGAAAAGATTTTGAGAAATTTAAATACTCTAACGGATACGTGACTAAATTTATAGAGAGAAGTCAAATTAACACGCGCCACGTCACACGATTGATAACCAAAGTTAACCACACCAACGAGAAGCTCGACGACAGCAAGCGTGATATATATAGCGTCGTATACGTTTAACGTAGTGACGTGGTGGTGATGCTTGCACTGAGGAGAAACAAACGAGTACCTGGTTACTCATATCTCCTGGGAAGGTCTGAGACAAAAACCGTTAAGGCTCCAGCAGGGCCCTCCGGTAAATCGGAGGGGGGCTACAAGAAAACAGGCATAGTGCGTGGGGCCCGTGTGACGTCGCAAGCGAGCGGCGGATGGAATCTCACGCGCTATAGTTGGAAAAGCCCTTGGTTAGCAGCCTGAGCTCGATGTGCAAGGTGACAGCGGTTGTTGTCATAACTCAACTCAGACTACTCCACTTCCACGTCCTCCATCTTTTTTTTCTTTTTATTTAAGCTTAGAAGAGTTCAGAAATTAAATTGAACTTCAATATTTTCCCACACGGTAACTTTACACTTGCCAAATGGAAGACTGTTTTTTTTTTTCGTCGTGTACTCTACCAAATTGTTATTATTATTTTTTATATATTTTTCTTATAAGATAGATATGTGATCGGAATGAGTTTCTTAGAGTTTTATATACCTTTGGTTTTTCTAAGTGGTTTGGTAGCATTTAGCTCTAATCGATTACAGAATCAATTTACGATTATTTATTAAATAAAGTAAGTAAATTTAATTTTCTACAATGAAACGAGGGTAAAAAAATCTACTTTACTAGGCTTTAAGCGATAACGTGTTCGATAATGATATTAAGTCGAGACAAAATATCGGCAAATATAGGTTAATCTTTTAACAAGTTTTTATGTTTTTGAAATAATTATTAATTACGTGGAGAAAAAAAATACAGACGTCGTTTGTCGAATATTTCGTAAATTTACATTAATTTACAATTTATTAACATAATTTTTTGAATTTTAATATTACTTAAAGCCTGTATTACATGTAAAATTTCGTAATCTACTTTTTGTTTACTTATTGAATATTTACATAACATACGTATCCGGTCAATTAACCATTGTTTATTTTTCAAATTGTTAATTATTTATAATTGTTTATTTCACAGTTTTATTATTAAAGTTACGATTTGACGCTTTATGTATTTTGCAATCTTTTAACGTGGGACGATATAATATATCATTTCCTACACAGTAAAGGTCATATAAATAAGAATGTTCCGTTTGTATTTAGTTCGTTTAAGTTTAAATATAAATATTTAAATAAATTATTAATTTTAATTTCTTAAATTAATTTTTTATAAGGAAGAAATGAGTATATGTGTTATACATAAGTATACGAAACTACTGCATTCTATATTTGTTTATGAAATACTTCCTGATTAATTCCTTTGTTTAATGTATTGTTAGTTCGTATACTAGTAGTGCCATCTAGCGATTTAAATAGAATTTACAGTGAAAGTCATACATGTTACGACTTTCACTGTAAATTCTTTAAACGTTCAAATAATATTTTATTATATTTTAAGCGAATACTTAATTATAATATTATTTAACAATCATAAATAACCATTTTATATATTATTAAATTACATCCTGTCTGCTTTTTATTGTTTGAAATGAGATAAAATTATCATCTCATCATTTCAATAAGTGGATTATTATTATTACTTTTTTTTTTTTTAAATAAAGTCGTAAAAAATTTAAACGATGTACAATTGGTTATCTAAAAATAGGACTTTATCATCACTTCTACAATAATACTTACTTTATTATTATTATTATTGTTGTTGTTGTTGTTGTTATCAGAATCTACAAGTTGTTTAACTTTATTCTTTATTCCGAGAAAAATTGACTAAATGGAGAATACATAAGGGAAGTTCACGTTTAATAGTTGATAATAAACATGCAACTAAACGATTAGAGACGGTTAAACCATGTTTGGATTGAAAAGACAATTTTTGAAGATAACTAAATAGAGTATTTGCGTGTCTAAATTTCCTACTGTTTGCTGCATTTAGAAAAATCTTATCTGAATAGAATCTTTTAAAATGTGAATGACTTCAGACTTCATTCACACGCTTGAAGATCAAGTAAACAATATTAATTTTGAATGTTACAATCACCTTAAAAAATATATATATATTCTATATTTTATTATATGCTATATACGTTATTTAAAAGGTTTCTTTTTAAATAATTTAATTTATGTACAAAAGCTTTCTATTATATAAATTTAATAGAGGTATCTAAATTTTATATCTATCATAATAAACATCCTGTAACTAAATTATTTTGTATATAGGCTATATAATTCTTTACATGTTATTTCTTATACGATCATTTACGTTTTACCCTGGAGGATCGATCAAAAAATTATTCATTAATCAAAATACGTTATTGTTTTGTAATGCCGCGGGCTAACCTCTCTCATTTTTAGAGAACTGATGAAAATGATGCATCATCATGTTCATCAGTCAAGTTCATTACGAAGAAGAATAGACAGATTGATGAACATGATGATAAATCACGATCTTATCCACAGTTTTTAATGTTGCAAATGTGACTAATTAAAAAAAAAAAGAGCACGATGCTAAGTAATTTGTTAGAAAAAAAACAATGTGATAAAAGAATTATCGAATTAATGTAATAACTAATAGTTCAAATCGCATCTTGCAATTTTCTAAAACTTAAGTGGAAAATTAATTTTTAAATATATCCATTCAAAATTATTTTGTTATTCTTCCCAATTTAGAAGATTTGGCGACAATCTATTTTTATGATGAAAAATTAAACCGTTTTACCCGTTTTACATCTAACAGCATCAATCGAAGTTAGGGATGCTCCGGCGCCTCCTTTCTTTAACTCATTCCATTAGTTAGAATGATAAAATCAGAAAAAAAAGAAATAAAATAAGGGGGAAAAACAACGGAAAAAGTAGTAATGAGTTTAATCTTTAAATCGTACATTTTATGTTTGAAGATGAATTTTATTCAAAATCATTTAATTTATTTGATAAATTTATTCAGTAAAACATTAAAAAAAAAATTAAATTTTGTTTGTCTTTTGTTTAATTTTTGTATGATCAACAAAACTGGTTTTATTTATTTAATTTTTTTTTCAGAGAAAAATAAATAAAATCAGAATAATAAATTAATAAATTCCTATTACAAATAAAAACAATAATATACTAAATTATACTGTAAAAATATAAAATAGATATAAAATAATATCCCATTTTAAGTTTTTGGTGAAAATTATAGAAAACTTACGCATTTACACGTAAAAAGTAATTACTAGTTAAAGTGTCNTTAAAATTATATAAAATATCATGAAAGATTTCGATGGATTATTTTAATAATAATATCTTCGATATGATGTTAAAAAATTTTTTTTTTATGTCAGAAATGAAATATCATGCAGCTTGTAGGTCTAGTGAGGTTTTAGAAATGACCTCATGTCTTATACATGAAAATATAAAAATAACGGAGGTTAGGCGAAAGGTAACATCTTGTGTTAACTGCTACTGATTATACGTCATCAGATACGTCGCCTAATCCTGATGACGTATTTCTGATACGGCACATAAAATTTATCAGCAATGAGACGGAAGAGTCAAGAAGTTTCGTCATTAATCTATCAAAGGATAAAATTTATCAATACGTAAGTATAAACTGGATGAAATCTCGAATTTATTAAATCTGATTTTATAAAGCTTACAAATTTACATAAATTAATATAAAAAATTATATGAATCGTTAATATAGTTTGTATAGTTTCAGTGAGTGACATTTAAAATAAGTTGTGTTTAACTCAAATATCATAATATAAGCTTCATACAAATGAATAATAATATATATTTACAGATGTTACCCGATGGAAGGGAGTTTTAGTGTTGAATTCCGATCTTTTTTCTAAAATAATTTTACTTGATTTCATTACTTTATCAGAAAAAAACATAAAAGAAAGATGGGGGAGGAAAAAAAAAACCTTAGCATCAGTCGTGAAGAATATTTGATGAACAAACAGAGTAGAATTACGTATCGTCATCGTATAAAAGGTAGTTTTCTCAGCCGCAATGTGCTAGTTTTTACACTCAACAAACACGTCTTCTCCGGATTGATTAGACCTATACCAAAAGAGCACATGTAGTAGAGATCGGCTAGTCGCGCCAGGTAAAGTGCCTGAGGTATGGAGACCAATAAATCTGTACCTTGCTTGTCGTATTCCACGTTCCATTACACAGCCATTGAGACTCGCGTTCTCTTTCCATCCCTCTCTTTATATACACTGTCACGTGATTAATACTGAGCGAAGGCTGCATAATGGAATCCAGGAGAAGACCCCCTCAGGGCTCTCAACTGTTATTAGTACGTCATTAAAGTCGTCCATAATGTTCGAGTAAACGGTTCTTATCTACATCTATGGACAGAACAACAGATACTTTTGTGATAAAATAAGATGAAAACACCATCTTTTTAACACTGTCTTACAAAACAAATTAATTCTTTAAAATAGTTCATACATTTACTGATTAGTATATTGATATTAACCTCATCTCTGTAATAATAATTATCTTTTGAAGAGTTTTCTGGACCATACTCAAAACATATACTTAATCTTTCATACGTACTTAAATAGTAATGTTAGGGTTTTCAAGATTAATATGTAATACTTATAAAGATCTTTAAGAGTTTTAAAAACTTCTAATTAAATTTCAGCTAACGTTTTAAGATTTAATTTTTTTTTCTTATGCCGATAAACAGATCTTATTAATGAGGACGAGAAAGAAAATTAGAGAAAAGTTGAAAGTTAGCCTGTGGGCGAAAATAATTAAAAATTCATTACTTTGAAGCTTCGTAATTGAAAATGCTCGAGTTGAAGAGAACATTAACAAACACAAACGAGTGAATTTGGACCCATATGTGATGGTTTTAGGAACCAAGTAAAAGTTTAAGAAAGGAAAATAGAATCTTAAATTACACTTTTTGATTATTTCTTTTTAATGCGAAAATACAGAATTAAAAACATTAATTAATTATTTAATACACATTAGACCAGATTAGAGAATAGAAAAAGTTAAGAATTTCTACTCTGAAACAAAATTAATTTGTAACTTTCTTGTAAAGATGGTTCATAAAATCAATTATTAAATGTACTCTAGTGAGTTGATAGATAATTACATTAATAACTAATATTTTTATGTCGATATATTATACACGATATCTAAGACCACAGCTGCTATAGTCAAAGTTTTGCTTGACTTCACCTGATCTTTTAAATCTTGAGAAATGTCCTCCTCTTTATATTTGAAAGAAGACGTGATTACAAGAAGCAATCAGAGTCAAACATGACCACCGCTCTCCTAGTACCAATCACACCATCGAAATGCGACACCTGTCATCTATAACTTTTATTATCATACTCGACTTAGATCAATACACTTGAATGTAAATTTTAAAGAAAATTCACTGGCTGCTTTTAAATAATGAATAAAATAATTACGAAACTGTATTTAGTATTTTCGTAAAATAATTTGCATAATTAGTTATAGAGAAAATTCGATTTTTTTTTTCCAATTACATCGATTTATTTCTTTGTTTTTATTCATTATTCTTTTGCTCTCATTGTTCAGAAATTAATATTAATTAAAACTATTATACAACTTTATATAAAAGGTATTTACAGTATAATATTTTTATGTAACTTAATAATTTACCTTATTTAAACTTAAGTAAATATAAACAGTGAAATTATATATGCTACTTAATGAACGGAGTGAACAATAAACACATTCTATATTCAATATATTTCTACCTCAAATTTAAAAAAAAAAAAAAAATATATATATATATATATTTTATATCTACGTATAAAAATAACACATTTATATATCAATAGATAAACAATTTGTATTTGTATACTTTATCCCTATAGAATTAATGGAATTATCAGTAAAGGTTCAGTGAATATATAGAAGAATGTATGAATGGCGTGAACCTCACTCCATTCAGAGAATATCCTATTGAATATCTCGTCCCATTCTACCGAATAGAGTAAACCATTCAGTAGATGGTAGATTGCGACAAGTTGAATTTATAAAATCTGCAACGAATGAACGATTTGGTGTTGATTCCAAGAAAGAATCGTATTGACATTAGAGATGAATTGAATAGTCAACAAAAAGCTTAAAATAGTGAAGATTATCAAAGAACTGATATGAAACTGAAATAAAAATAAGTGTTACGAATTGTAATAGTTTTAAAATTTTCTGTATTTGATTTTGAATTCAGGTAGAATGAGAGAATTGATCATTTATGTATTCTAATCGATTTTAATGAACTTATTTTAAAATTAATTTGTACTCATTAAAGCCAATTATAATATGCTCATTTCATTTTAAATATTTTTATAAATACTATCGAAATTTTTTGGGAATTAATATCATTAAGAGTACACTCATTGACTGAAAAAAACACACGGCATATGATTATGTCACAGACAGGTATGTAAATGATTGTAGTTGTGATCCGGTTGCACGCTAGGTAATTCCAACAGAGTGCTACTCCCTGTATCTTATAAAAAGGCTCGCAGAGGCTCATTGTATTCAAAATTTTTAATACCTTTTGTTTGGAATCTTCGACGTCAACAATGTCTGCAAGATGCAATCAAAGACATTACGCACAGCTGACGGAGTTGAGGTTTCTGAGGAAGCACAAAGGCAGTTTCACTGAATTGCTTGCTATCAGGATCGTTCTGACCTGCCTGTGAGGTGTTGTGGGAATTGGATACGTTAGGACACACACGACGGCTAAGCTTCAAAAGCCCCAGCACATCATCAGAAGAGATGATCGTGAGACAAGCACGAACATCTTCAACAGCGTTTTTGCTCACCTCCAGAGACATGTGGAAGCCTCTCTACGAAACTGTTTCTTTCCGAACTAGCGTAGAAAAATTTTTATGCTCGGCGACTATTATGAGTCCTGACTTTGTCAGCTTCGTCTACAGTGGTGCCATGACAGAAAAGCATGGACTGCTACAGACCAGAAGCGTGTCTTTAGTGACGAATCCCGGTTCTGTTTGGGAACGGACTACCACCGCGTTAGAGTCACTAGTGAATGCTTCAATATCCTTTATTGCTGAACGGCACACTACCCGCACTGCTGGCATGCTGGTCTGAGGCTTGTATGCAAGTCGGTCGCCTCTAGTAGTGTTATGATGGTACAACATCCAGGAAATCCTGCGCCTTATGTGTTGCCTTTTATGCCAGGACTTTTAGATAGCCATTTTCCAGCAAGAGAATGCTCGGATGCACACAGCTAGAGTTTCCCAGAAATGTCTCCGCCATGTTTCCAGTTGCCAGACTTCTTTGGTCTGCCTAATTCCCAGATTTGTCATCTATTGAGCATTTATGGACTAGATGGGATGCCAGCTTTGGCCATCCATAAGTGGAGCGGCAGTTGTAACACGTGTGGACAATTCTGTTGGTTATATGGTGCCTGCATGCCCGATCTTATCTCCGCATATATCCAGACAAGAGAAAGTCCTACAAAATATCAAAGGTTCGTTTAAATTGTAACATAGTTTCATAAGAAGTTTCCTCTTCTTTGTCATGTTATTGTAATCACTTAAAATTAACTAAAAATATATTCGGAAACTTAGAAACCTGGACAGAGAGGACACAGTCATTACAATTATTTATTATTAGTTTAAAAAAAAACAAGATTTTAAACACAATGACAAAAATATTCAGTGTTACTTTTAACTACGAAAATGTATATAACTTTCTTAAAAACGTATGCGTGCAATATATGCAATTAAAGTTATATTATAATGCTATACTAAAATGTTGATGTAAATTTAAAATATGCATATATACCATTTTCTAAAGTATAGATATTTTTTCAGATTATCGGTACATTTTTTTCGCTTCATTTGTGTGTATTCTTTCCATCGTTTTTCACTATCAATATAAATTTTAAAAATAACTTTAAGATCCAAATATATGAAAGTAAATATTCTAAAAGTTTAGTTGAATAACGAATTTAAAAAAGAAAACCTCTTAATGCCATTATTCTTTTGAAATAGTTAACTGGTTTAGCAAAGTCCAATTCATCACTCTTACGTCCTTCAATCAATCCAAGTAAAAATGAACAATTGCAATACTCTGTAGGAAGAATTCTAAATTTGATAAGAATCAGTTCTATTCACTTACATTGTTTTTCGTTTTCTTGATAGCTGTTCTGTTTGTTCTTGAAAATTGTTTCGCTTTATAAAGTTTATTCTTTTATCCACAATTGAATTCATTCTGATTCCTCTCTTCTTAACATTCTTTCACTAGAATTGTTGAAGTGTGGACTAAAGTTTTCTGTCGTTTAAGTTATTTAAAGAAAAAAACTCTCTCAAACTTCCTTTTTTTAATAGAAATTTTATTAATAAATTGATTTACTAAAGCATTGACATTTTTGAAAGTTTCTTATTCGAATAGTTTCATCGCAGTTTGCAATCAAACACAGATTTTGATATAGAAAGAACTATCCATAAGTTTATGTGAAATAAACTTAAAGGTTAATGCTTTCAAAATTTTTAGTTGGTTAACCGAATGGCATCACTGTGATATTCTTTCAGAAGGATCTGGAATCGATACCAGTTGATCCCTATTCTTCTATTTCCTTCTGTCATCCCCACTACGACCGGTCTCAGGTGGTTGAATATTCCCTCAGGCCTTCCGAGATATATATATATATATATAACCCATTGTGCAATTTAGACTGTCATAAAGCCCTAAACAACCAACCATCAAAGATTTTTAGAAAGGCATAGGAAATGCAAATATCGAAATTGTAGATTTATCATTGTTAAAAAAAATACGTTTTCAATAAGGGAATATGATCCGTTCTTTATGGATAATATCCCTCTGATCTTCATTGCTTTACCGTACAGTACATCAAATCTGTTGAAAAGTTTTAAGCAAAACAAAAGAAAATATCTTAAAAGATCTTTTTTGAAAAACTTCCAATTAAGTAATAGTAAAAATACATTAAATTATTAATAGGAGCAATACTAAAGTTTTATTTATAAAGGAATTACTAGAAAGGATTTTATGGAAAACTAAAATAGGATAAGAATAGAATATATAACCAATAATTCTATTATTACGTTGAGTTTTGTTCTTATACCTCAAGCTTTATACTGATTGAATTATCGTTGAGAAGAGATCGGACGGAATATAATAGCAATAAAGCTACGTCTAATACACTATTATATTATAGGAATCATATTATTGTTTGTTACGAAGTCCATGTGATGAAATTTTCCCGGTTTTATTGGCATTAAAGATTAATAATAATAGCAATATGCAATTGTTATCTTTTTAACGTTAATAAAATTTAATATTAACGTTATATTTATGGCTAGATTTTATTTCTTTGATGTTCAATAAAACTATTTATGAAACAATTTCTTTTTTGTATGATAAATTTCATAATAACAATTATTTTCTGTTGGAAAACCGAAAGTATTTCTAACGTTTTAAGTAAAAGTTTGTATAGCAGAAATTTATGCGTTACAGTTTGTGTTATAACACTTATAACACAGTCATATTTTTTCATATATCGCATTTTTGATCGATCGATACGAAGAGAAGAAGAAGAAGAAGAAGAATTCCTTCAAACATTTCATAACTTAAATATATTGATAAATTTAATAAAAACATCCTAAATCGTTTATGGTTCTTGGAAAATTAAATTCCAAAAATATTTATATCGATATTTTATTGATTTCTTCTTGATACAATACATTAACTAATAGGGTACGACGTAAATAAATATACATAAAAAAATCATTTTATTCTACTAAGTATAGAACTTTAAGTGCTCGTTGATAAATTGGATATTATTAAGATATTTATTATGTGAGTATCAAATTTAACTGTTAAAGAATGAGATTAATATTTAGTTATAAATTATAGTTGAAATTAACATTAATTAAAGCAAATAATAAACGAGACAGGAGAAAAATGAAAGGTACAGAAAAAGGATTATTTTTATAAATCAAGACGTGATTATAATAAATATTACACGAAAGAAATAAATTATCTTCGGAATAAGACAAATAAACTTGAAGAATGAATGATGAGTTTCATCGAAATAAAGAAATTACTTTTTTTGTAAGAAACACATACAAAAAAAATTGTGTAAATGTGTTTGTATTCAATATATAAAGAGGAAAAATGATTGTTTAAAAGAAATAAAATATTTAAGAAAAAAATATCTGTACAAAGAGATAATATTTGCTTTTTAAAATAAATAAAATACAATGGAAAAGAAGTAAAATAAGTACGATAATAAACAGATTACATATTAATTCAAATGCACTTGAGAAAAAAGAAATTCTACGTCACAATACTTTTATTATTTCTACTAAATATTTATATTTTAAAATCTGTAGCAAACTTTTATTAAGTATTAAAACATTAGAAATTTAATTTAATTATATTAGAATTTAAATTGCATTTTATTGTGAATTTTATTACATTTTATTTAAAAGATATAATCGAATTCTGGAGAATAATACGTGATAATTTTTCGTAATATAATTTATAAAATATTAAAACTCGATTAGTATTCGTGAATTCTGAAGAATAAAAGGATATTTCTTGGTGACAGTAGTGAAGAAGAAGAAACATTCTTTTATTCATTTTTAATACTAGTTTATTTATATAATTTCATTTCATAAATCTACAATGTTATTTAGCAAAAATAATATTTATGTTAGACAATTTAGAAAAAAAAAGTTAAATGAATTTAATGAGAATTTTATTATCATACATTATTCTTACAAAGATTTCTTTATTGCAAAATACAATACGCGATTGCCTTTGGCTAAACATAATATATACGTCATAAAAGTTCCTAAGGCGACCTTCGATCTGTTGTAAAAATGCAAAAATTTCAACACCGAATAAAACTTTCGTAAATAATGTAATAATAAAAGTTTTCCAATGAATAGTAAATAGAAAAGTGATAGAAACAACCCGTTTTCTGGATAAACGAATGTCAAAGTTTTAGTTTATTAGATTTTTTTTTAGAATTTGAAATAAAGTATTTATTAGATAAGAGAGAAAAATACCGAGGCCTTCCTTCATATTGCAAAAAAAAAAATCGTATTGTTCCAAATATAGCAAGATTCTATCCCAAAGGAAATTTTCTTTCTTTTTGAAAATCGAAGAGTTGCAACAATAAGCAATGGAGGAACTATTACAGTTTCTAGAAATTTTACTACAAAAATAAAACATTTTTACTATTAATTTAATAATAATTTGATATTTAACTTTAGTATATGATAATTCAGAAAGGTTTGGAACAATTTTACAAGTAGGACCTAAAAAAAATAATACTAATGTCTCGACAAAGCATTACTTTTGTGAATAATTTATGAAGTATTTCCCATATAGAAAGTACTTTCCTTATCTTAAATTATCATTCATGCATATCTAGATATAACATTAGAATAGATGAATGTCTAAAAACTATTATAGCAAACCGCTAAAGGTTTTTCTTTAGTAATTAGAGAAGAGATTCCACAGTAAATGTTCGTTTACTGATAATCCAACTAGCAAGAATGATACTAAACAAAATTAAATAGACATTATCTACATTTAACAGTCGGTAATCAGATTCAAAGTACACTAAAGGAAGTCGTTAACACAAAATGTGAAACTACTTTTAGTAATGTTTTATCTACTGCATCTTTATAAATGTTGAAAGTTATTGGAAATGCTTCCTTCTGGAAACACAATCTTAGGGATAGAAGGAAAGTTGGTATGTCATTTCGTCTAGAGGTTGACTGTAAAATTATCATTTCTTTTCTTGGAATTTTATCCGCCATTGCTTTCTAGAATAATAATATTCAAACATTGGATTTCCGTGCAAGTCCAACTTGGTGGATGAATTGTGAAAGCGGATTTATCAAAAACCATTTCAAAGATATTTCGTGAGTTACTCACGATCTTTAGTATGCTCTTTTCCTCTTGAGATTTTAAATTTAGATGATATAAATTCGTCTTCAGGAAGTACAAGCCCATCCATTTTTGTCAGCTTTCTTGTGTATTTGGAATAAGAGATGCGCTACTTTTTTGCTAGAGATTTACGGTATAAGAACTATTCTCAGTTTTAGTTGTCTAACAGATATTTTGACAGTATAATTTATTATCTGTTTACGAAACTTCTGAATAATTAAATTTGTTATTAATATTTTTTAAAAATTTACATTAGATTTGACTCGATTAAACATTATATATTTGTAGAAGAAATATTATCTTCAAGAAAATTGATTCATGTAAAATAATAATCAATTTTCTTACGTTAACATTTCTTATTTCAATATTTAATTACTTTGGTTCTTGTTAACTCTAAATTATTAAAATAAAATATTTATTTTACTGATATTAAGTAAAAATATCTCTTTATTAAAAAGGAAGAAAACTGAGACAGGTTGGTCTTTCATTAGATTTTTTTTTATTATTATTTGTTATTTTAAGACATACTTTCATCTCTCTCAATTTTCACATCAATAACTACACACCATTCTCTATCTTGCTATGTGTTAACACATCACATCCGTAAATAAGACGTGCTACACATCAAATGCAGAGAACTTCTACGATCAATCGACATCTGTCAGAAACAGAAGAGAAGTGCATCGTCTAATGACTTGACTCTAGAACAACTCTTCTTTTGATGCTGATATTACTTATTACTATCGGTTGAAAGAAAGAAAGAAAGAAAAAAAAAACCACAGCCACTATGGTTTTTCATTCTGACATAAATGATGTGATCTTTCTCGTTTAATCAATATAAAATCTTTACTAAAAGTTAAGATAAGCTAACTTTTTCTACTTACAAAATGAAATAATAATGTATAATATATAATTAAAATAAAAATTTCAAGTTATAACATTATAAATACGTATTATAATTCTATTTTTTAAGTAATTTTCTAGAAATATAAAATTATTTTTGTAGAACCAGTTATTGTAGAATCTCCAGTAAACAGGACAGTGGTGATGAACGACAATGTTATTTTTTCGTGTGGAACAACTGGAGAACCTCGACCTCAAATATCTTGGCACAGAAATGGAAGAAGTTTGCACCACAATGGACACGCCACGTATAAAATCTTAGAAAACGGATCTTTAGTTCTTGAAAATGTCGGTCCAGCCGATGATGGAATGTATAGGTGTATTGCCAGGAATGAAAAAGGTGCAGCATATTCGGATCTAGTACGTCTTAAAGTAGAAGGTAAGTCAACATATTAATATATTATTCATATCGTTATAGACATATATAAATATAAATATCATATTTCGTTTGTAAGATACAAATAATAAATGAGTTGTTTCTAAAGGACGTCCTTATCTGGTCTACTTTGTGTTCAGGTATTTCCTTACAAAATAATGATTTATAAAATGACATTCTTATGACAATTTTCTTTCAGAAAGTAAAAATATCTTTATATTCGTATTTCTTCCTTCTTATTACAATATATATATGTATTAAATTTCAACAGGAAACTTTAAATTTGCTTAAGAATAGTATTTATAAAAGACATTTCGTTATTTTTGGAATTGTAGAACGATTTATCATTCTTTTTAATTTAGTTTAAGTATACAGATTTTTTTCATACAATCATTAAAATGCTATAGGAAACATATTTATTGAACAGTAAGGGGATAAACTCGTTAAATCAAAATTAAGAAAGGACTCTGACCAAAAAACATTACAGAATTGTGTTGAATATATCTTCATTACACATAAAATACATCAAAATTTATATATATATATATTAACTTTTATTTGAGAAAATTTTATATTATTCGAGTAAAACAAACAAGTAATTTAAAGAATAAATATTTTTCTATTTAAATGTAAATCATTACAATGAAATTCTTTTATTTTTTTTCTCTTTTAAGAGTAAACTTAAATCATGATTTTTCAGAAGTAGCATCATTTTATAAATGACCACAAAAATTATATGTAATTTAAGTTATGATGGTAATTATACAGGAGAAAAATATAAAGTACAATTCACAATTTTATAAAGTCAGTAGTTTACATTTATTCCAAATTATCATATTATTTTTTTGAATAAATTTCCAATGTTACTATGGGCCTGTAAATAATAATAAAAAAGGGTATTCTTAATGCCCACAGCGAGGAAAAAGTCCAAAAAATATATATATATTAGATTTATGGAAAATAAATTCATCACCTGCTCAAAAAAAGTTTATCTGGAAGATTTTATCGTGTGTATTTTATTATTTTTTTAAATAAAAATACTATAAAATGCAAATAGTAGTAATAATGAAACATGTATAGACTAAATATACATAAAACTTTTGCTTAAATTTAATTCATAAACATAACAAATTATATATAAATTCAACGTAATGTATTTAATTTACTTTTAGAAAAGACAAATAAATAAATAAATAAATAAAAATAATTTATATTATTAATGTAAATAATATTTATTACATCATTTAGTGATGTAATATATATATATATATATATATAAAAACACTGTCATTGAAATTAATGAAGGATCCATCCCACAAATTAAACTACTCTCTATATATCTAAGTAATCCGAACCTCCCTTAGGATTCTAATTATCTATAAGCGAGTAATTGGAAACAGTATATATATATTTTTTTCTGAATTACATTCTTGATTTGTCATTTGTTCCCTCATAATTCAAAATTTGAAATATGCTATACTTTATAGCTGTAATCATGCAATATAAACTATTCCTATCTCAGATATTTTGTACGTTCTTTTATATAGACGAATGAAGTGTTATTCTCTATATTTAACATTTCCTAAATGTACTTTGGGACTTGCTTTGGTCATTCTTTGAAGTAATGGAGTCGTAAGTCGTTCTTTATGCCATTAACTCTGGTGTACAATTGATCATTATTATGAGAAAATGGCCTTCTTGAACTCTAGTAGTACGTAAAATCACTTTTAGTAGAACATCTCTACTAGAAGACATTTTTTTTCCAGTCTTGTAAACATGTTTATGTGGCATGCTTTAATTCACCTTACTGATACGGATAATATCTCTTGGGATTACTAATGCTTTTCGATGAATAATTTTTCACATCATATATAAATATCATAGGAAAACTAGAAATCTTATATATACTTACCACTTTTTCGGGTGATATAGGACCTTTCTGTGTCGTTGTTTGAAAAATAATAGTAACTACATCACGAAAAGAAATGGAATATCACGATACCTGCTATATTATCATTCTCCATAAGAATGAAAAATTTCAACCATCTGTCATCATCAAAGCAAAGAGTAGTGATCATCGATAACGATGATTACATGATTTTTTTTTTTTCGAATAGTATTTAATATAAAACTTCCATCACAATGTATACGAAGATATAATGTGTTATCATGCAATCTATTCGCATAAAAAAGAAAGAAGAAAAATCGATCGCCACTTTTCAAAGAAGTCTTACTCCCAGTGTTTAACTTTATGGAAGCTGAAGTGAGCTTTTTGTGCAAAAAAACATTTTTTATCTTTTCATTTTTTTCCTTCTGAAAATACGTGATGTTACCTGTAAGTCGAACAAGATGCTTGAAGAGATTAGAAAGTATCTAGGCAAGCATACCTCATAAATTACAACTGAAACGACTAACAATCGTGTATAGCAAGTAGATAGGGTTGTCTCAATATGTTAGAGTAGAGGAAAGTAAATCTGATTTAAACCTTAAGCAAATTTGTGACCTACCTTGGTCTTGTTGACTGAATATTCTTCGATATTTATGATTTCCGCGTACACTATAAGAAAATTGTAAAGTGGAACTGTGTAATCGCATTTCTCAGTAGCTTGAGTTTTTTTTTTTTTTTTTTCTTCTTCTTTACTATCTTTATTCAAATAAAAGCAGTTCTTGTTTGGAATTTAATATCAATATGTTTACTGCCGAAGAGTGTTCGACATTTGTATATTTACTTTATCAACGTATACATTTTCTACATTACTCTCATAATGTAATAATAAAATACATTGGAGTTTTTGTATTTCCTAAAAGTAATAATAAAGCATTAATACTGAAATTTTAATAAACCGTAAAAACTGTTGTTCACATCTAGCAAAAAAAATTTCTTTTTGCTGACAGTTTGTCAATATAATGATTGACAGGTGTAAAATATTGGCTGAAAACAGCATCATTTTTTGATAAGTTGACAGGAATATACTTAAATAATATACTGTATTTATAAATTTACATTATTAAATATATATATATATTTTTTTTTCTTCCTCCTTTTGTAAAGTTAAAAAATACATTTATTATTTGAAATTATCTTAGTAAATTTAATGATTTATTGTTACGAGTTTATGATTCGATAATATAGATTTAATATTAAATGGGATAAAGTGATAAATTTGTAACTGCAATGGATATATGTAGAATCAACCGAAACATTCAATGATAATTTTCGAACGTTTAAATAGTAAATCATTAGTAAACGACAAATTAATCAGATCTGAGTTTTATTATAAAGACAGCTGTGCTATATATTGAATTATAATTTAATTTAATTCATTACAGTGGGTACTTTATATACGCGAATAATAATAAGAAAACATATTTGTTAATATTTAAAATATATATATATATGCTTAATGTAAATAGCTCTATTCCAAATAGAAGTGTTATAATGCATATTTAATTGGTAATTTTAGTTTCATCTCCTATCTATAAGCTACGTTTAATTAATTTAAAAGCTATTTTATCGTTGCAATATATTTAAAATTATTGTAAATAATTTCGATTTTTGTTTACTGTGGTAAAATTTTCCCAGCTTAATGTTGAAACAAATGTCGTCTTAACTGCTTCGTGGACAGTTATTTATGGATGTAAGCTTCATAACTCTGGAACCAATATAGTTTCCATAAAAACAGTCATCATTCCTTATCATCAAAATTTCTTGATCGAAGCGGTCCGATGCACCAGGTGGTCTTGACGCCTCTTTCTCTTACGAGCCACGCCAGTCGTCAGTAAGAAGACAGAACTATTTTGCTTGGAAGAATCTTTCAGCTATCCTCTAGGCTATTCATCCTCCCGTTTCGTACGTCTCCAGTCACCGAAATATCCCGCCTACTCTATTATATAACGACAATACGATTCGGCCCGTAGGGTAGGGGGGAGAAATTCTTTGTGTAAATCGGGTGTAAGTTAAACTTACAGGAGATGAGGTAATTTCCTTTGCTACCTAAAATCCTATTTTATATTTCTTTGATCGGAAAATCGGTGATGTTCTTGAGATACTAAGTTGTGATGCACTACTGGAGACGACGACCTTGCTGTCATTACATATTTATCCTCCTTTTTCCTCCCCCCTTCGTCTTGTATCTGGATGTCTCTCGTGCCTTGTCATTTCTGTCAACAAAACTGGGGTTACGTTATTCGAGAGCCCGGAGACATGCCCTCATCTATACAATCAGATTGGCTGTAGAAGTTTAAAACGTTAAGAATTGGTTGTGTATATACAAAAAAAAAGCATATAATTTGTATTAAATCTTCGACAAAGTTGCATTAGTTTAATTTCGTGGATGCCAGAACGTTCAATTGTCTTGTTATACAATTTATACCAGTTAGTTAGGATATGAATAATAACAATGCATCATCGCATTGTTTGATTGCAGTAAATTACACTAAGCTCGTGTTTATTGTTAGATAAGTGTTGATTTGAACAGAACCGTATAATAGTATAATAAATCGACATAGGAGAATTTATAATACATTTCAATTAATGAAGATTTGCTTAAGTCATTTAAAATGATTCATTGACTGGAGTGATAAATATGAAAATTATACCATTTACATCCACTTTTAATTCTTATTAATTAATTATCTTATTGAAAATATATTTATTACATATTTAGAATATTAGACATAAAAATTGATTTTATTTTGATCGATTTTTCTGAAATATAATGCTTATTTTATTTAAGAATAATATAAAGTAATAGGATAATGCAAGTTAAATAAGCTGCGGTTAAATGATTATGTACATTAGATAGTATCCTTAACAAAGCAATATAAAACATCAAAGAAATACAAATAAAATTGGGATTATATCCGGAATTGTTGTACTTTATTCGGGTTCCTATCTTCTAATGTCAACACAAGACGTAATTAAATATACGACACCACTGGATCATTCAAAGTGGGAATTTGTCTTGCGTTAGTTGTGGCCGACGGCTATTTGCGTTAGAAAA